GATCAGCTTTAGGTGAGGTGCTTTTATTTATATCCCTGGAGCTGGGGATTCTGAAGGTGCCTGGATGTCCTGAGTTCTGAGGTTGCATGGATGTCCCTGAGTTCTGAGGATGCATGGATGTTCCTGAGTTCTGAAGGTGCACGGATGTCCCAGAGTTCTTAAACTGACAGGGATTGGAACCTAGAGTTGATATCCATTGAGTCTTCCTGAAGACATTTTCTGTCATAAATGGAGATAAAGGTGAAAGGTAAGAGAAGCTCTCTAAGTGTCAGATAAATCCGAATCTGGAGCAGGCTGTCCCATGTGCTCTTGAGTCCTCTATCAAGCACAGCTTGGTTCCCACCCAGTGACCGTGTCATGAAAAGTATGCTATCTTGGTGTGTACATGACAGAGAAAATACCAGGCTTGGAATCAGGGCCTTAGGGTTCCAATTCCAATCTGTCATTTACCAGCCATGTGTCTTCAGATAATAACCTTTTAGAAGTGTCAGTTCCTTCATTTTCAAAAATGAGAGCACTAACTTCTACATCTCAAAATTGCTGTGATGAATAAATAAGGTAAGCTATTGTGAATATACTTAGTTTAGTGTCTGGCATAAAAGGAGGTGGTCAGTAAAATGTCATTTCAACCATGAGATACTTTGATCTTCTGACAAAAAGAGCTTCACAAATCCTTAACAATTCAAGAGTAATTGAAGAATTGTTGAAATAAGTAACCCAGTGACATTTGAATGTTAGGGCAAAAGCTGAAAGTCTGAACAGTGACAAATTCATTACAGGAATAGAAAGAAAACTGCTTGAAATATTCCTTGCTATTTTTAAAGACATTATGAAGTATGGTAATAACTACATGTGGCTTATGATTCTGTAGGCACTTTACAAGTCTGCTTCTCTGAGCCTGTGTATATATCTGCAAGAAAAAGCATGTTGCATCCTGGCCAGTGTGGTTCAGTGATTACAGCATCAGCCCACCGACCAGTCCTAGGTTTGATTCCTGGTCAAGGGCAGGTACCTGGGTTGCAGGTCCACAGAGAGGGAGAAATAGAAGCATCAATGATGAGAGAGAATCAGATGGAGTCCGCAACCCGGGCATGTGCCTCTGACCAGGAATCGAACTGTGACCTCCTGTTTCATAGGTTGACACAACCACTGAGCCATGTCACATGAGATAACATTATCCCTTATTTAATGGGGGGAAGGGGGGAATAAACTTGTTTGAAATTTACAACTTGGTCTACTGTTTTAATTTGATTTGTTGGACTTCATTTATATTTTTAAACTGAATTTATAAGATTCCATTTTAAGAGACATTTATTTATTTATTTATTTATTTAAAAAAAAAGATATTTTTATTGATTTTTTACAGAGAGGAGGAGAGAGGGATAGAGAGCTAGAAACGTCGATGAGAGAGAAACATCAACCAGCCGCCTCTTGCATACCCCCCACTGGCGATGTGCCCGCAATCAATGTACATGCCCTTGACTGGAATCGAACCCAGGACCTTTCAGTCCGCAGACTGACGCTCTAAGACTGAGCCAAACTGGTTTTGGCTTAAGAGACATTTATTAAGGAATTATAAAAGGCAACAGGTTAAAACAGTCCTACTTAAAAGGGATTTAAATTAGATTACTTCAATTAGTAAAGTTTTAGAAAGAATTTTACTTAAAACCTTATTAATCTCTGATTCTAAAAAAACTAAGAAGTGATTAGCACTGGACTTGTGCAAATATTTGGGTTACATTCAGATTAAAGAAGAGAAATACCTGAACTCATCAATGGGAACTGGAGTTGTCATCCTTAATGTGGGGGTGGGAGAGGAAGAGAGACCATTATCCATTTGAAGAAAGGGAGAAATTATAGATGAGGTTTCTAGAATAGAGCAGTCACTTTTTATTTCTTGAAACTCTGTAAGTATTCAAGGAACCGATATGATTTTCTAAAGACCTCAATAATATCCCCATGAGAATGCTTCTAACTCCACCCTGACTTAATCTCAAGGGTGCTTGCTGCATAAATGGTGTTCCATAAATGGTGTTCCGGACCAAAAGATTCATGGCGATTCCAGGGCCACAGCGTTCACCTGCTGGACTAACTATAATATGATCGCAGCAGCAGGCCACAAAATAGTGTAGCTCTGAGGTATGCAGGCTAGGCTGAATTTTGAATCGTTGAGCTTCCAGACATTGCGCGACACTACTATACAGAGATGTGGTCAAGTGCACATGTAAATAGCGGGCAGGCAGAGCTCTCTGCTTTCAGTTTTGGCAACACTACCAATGTGGGCAGAAAAGTTCTGAGCACTGTTCCTGATGACTCTGAAAATATTTTTGGTTTTTAGAAAGAGAGGAAGGGAGAGTGAGAGAAAGAAAGAAACATCAATGTGAGAGCAAAACTTCAATTGGCTGCATACTGAATGCCCCCCCCCCCCCCCCCCCCCCCCCCCCCTCCCGCGCCACTGGGGATCAAGTCCTCAACCCAGGTATGTGCTCAGACTGGGAATCGAAAAGGCAACCTTTTGGTGCATGGGACAATGCCCAACCAACTCAGCCAGACCATCCAGAGATCCTGGTAGCTTTTGAATGGCAACATACTGTGCTTTGCAAGAATCTCACTAAAGAGATCATCTATTCCAGGACAAGACTCAGAGAGGAAGGGAGAGGAAGAGAGAGATAGAAACTTCTATGATGAGAGTCATTGATCAGCTGCCTCCTGCATGCCCCCTACTAAGGATCAAGCCCACAGTCTTGGCATGTGCCCTTGACCAGAATCAAACTCAGGACCCTTTAATTCCCAGGCTGTCACTTTATCCACTGAGCCAAACCAGCCAGGGCATTTTCTACAGTTTGCTTCTGTGTGTGTGATTTTGTACAAACAAATCAGACTGTGAGTGGTGTTAGGACCTGCTTTATTCACTTAGCTAAGAACTGTGAACATTAACTCCACATTCACAGGCACAGACTGTGCTATCAAAGGAAGGCCTGCCAAGGACTTTCATGAGCTCTTTTGCTGGTGGGTGACTATGGCTGCTCTTTCTAGAAGCCAAGCTATTTGCTGCAGCCCCACTAGGAGGGTGTGGTCCTAGAAGCTGCTGTGTAAACACCAGGCTACCTGAGAGGTGTGGCCCAGAAACGAGGGGTACTTGGCTAGAGGTTTGAGAGGGAAGATCCCTGTCCATGAGTGAGCTTATCTTTCTGCAGACAACACTTTCCCAGGAGGCTGCAAGATTCCTCTGACCAGCAACACATCATTCTCCCAAGTCAAGAAGAAACTTGTTTGGATTCAGAAGCATGCCCACAAATACTTTCCAAATATTTTCTGCAGTTTTTTATTTAAAAAATTTTTGACTCTAGCCACTAACTGAGTCAAATGTAACCTCCTCCAGCTAAACAGATACCAAGAATATTTAGGTGTCTTTTGTGTAAACCCTTTGAGAAAAGGTCAAAGGACACCCACAGCCTTCACTTGACTTTATCTCCAATATGGGCAAAGCTGCCTTTCTTATTTGTGAATATTGCCTATTAACCCCAGAGGTTTTGTATGAACTACCACGTATAACCTAACTCTCCAAAAGCAAGGGGCCTGCAATTTTCTTTAAATGGGCACTCATGAGTGAAATCTCTCAGGCATTAGTGCTCACTTGACTGCATTCAGACATCACTTTGGCAATGGAATGACTGCATTAAATTAGCATCAAGCACAACGGATAGTAATTGCAAGACTGTCATTTCTACAATTGCAGAATTAATGTGTTCTGCAAACCCACCCCATTGTGTGCCACAGGAAAATCATGGAACCATGTGGTCCCGAGCAGAAAGACGCCCTGGAGTCACCCCATTGATGTGCAGTGGCATTATTCAGCGGTGGTGTTCCTTCCTGCCTCAGCTGTCGTCTTGTGCTCTTTCTTCAAGCTCTGTTTGACCTCATCTGTATGCTCATATGACAGCACCTCCAGACAGTAGCCTGGATGTACAGAGAATGCTGTGGAATAATTCCTCCTTCTGGGTGGCATCATGTGTGAATAATGCCAACACAATCACCCTGTATGTATTTCCAAGAGTATGAATAGGCTGCTTATGTAAAGCTTCTTATGAAGAGACATACCAACCATGTCCAGAAAATGTTACCCAAAGGCTGCACATTCATTTAGAAAGAGAAGAGAGATTCACATGCATTTCAGGTATAGCTCAGGAAAGGAGGCCAGCCTGCTTCTCTCCAGCCCTCTTGTTTACTTATGGGAAGGGGATGCAGCCCAGTTTGCATTCAGTTGAGTGAATTTTTTCTGGTCACACAGGACCCCAAGGTGTATGAAAACATGCAAGTGCACCAGGCTCTTGTAGTCTGCTGACTGGCTCTGCAGACTTTCCTGGGGATAAAAGAAATCACTCAAGACTGAAAATAAAAGTAATAACAGATGCTCTGAGCTGAATAGTTAGATATGGTCTCTCAGGTTTTCTTCAGTATAACCGAGGCTGAGAACTACCCCAGAGGATCCTGTGTAGGAGTCACAATGATGACAATGACAGTAATCAGACAAATGGGCTTTCTTGGAAGTCCAGCTTGAATCCAGTCTCTTAGCAACCAGAGGTGAGGGTGGGATCGATGTCTGGGTTGCATTCACTGAATCTTTTGGCAACCATCCAGTGTGATGTCCACCCCTGTGATGTCTCTAAGTGGGAGCATCAGGCCCAAGTCCCCTTTCGGAGACCACTTACTCTGTCACTCAACATTAAGGCATGACACAGCTAATTGCTTGGTAATGTATAGTTAGTGCACAGTTTGTTGGAATTTGGGGGAAATTCTGCACCTCACTCAAAGCATCTCATATCTCATTGTAGTAAACATCAGATTAGGGACTGATAGAGACTCCCTACTTAAGGTGGGAGAAGAATTCTGAATATTTTGAGAATAAAGGTGCGTTTTGTGCAGCTGAGAAATCATTATGTAGTTGATTTAGGCTTAAAGAGATGTGTAAACATGACCAGAAACTGGTTCTGCCTTACCTTTGTTGCAAAATGTTCCATCATAGGCCGTGTTGGAGCAGTCACAGGAGTAACCATGATATTTCTCTATGCATTTGCCTCCATTCTCACAGTTAGCCCCATAACTGGTGCAGTGGCCCGAGCACCCAGATTTGAACCCGGAAGTGACCTTTGCTCTTTCCTCCAGATCCAGGGTCACCCCATTCATCCTCAGGGAGCGGATGCAGCCCAGGAAGCCCTGCTGACCTCCAGCACCACCTGGGAATGACAGAAGGCATGTCGCTCAGATGGAAGAACCTGTTATAGCTGTTTTCATTCATCATGCATTGAACAATTGTGGGAGGAGATGAGATGGCCAAGCACAATTAGCATGCTCATTTTCTTTCTTTAAAAAAAACAAAAACATTTTTATTGATTTCATAGAAGAATGGAGAGGGAGGGAGAGATAGAAATATCAATAGTGAGAGAGAATTGGTTGGCTGCCTCCTGCATGTCCCACACTGGGGATTGAGCCTGCAATCCAGGCATGTGCCCTGCCCAGGAATGGAACCATGACCTCTTGGTTCATAGGTCAATGCACAACCACTGAGTCAAGCTGCCCAGGCTGGCAGGCTCACTTTCAAATGGGTCTTGCTTAATAGAGAAACTAGATGCTTTCTTCCCTAAAGCTATAATGCCTAATTAAAAGAGGCTGTCTTCTGAGCTGCAAAAATTTGGCTACAGAAATAAAATGTTTAGAGATACACAAAAAATATATAAGCTGTTTTGGAAGTCTTATCTAGTTTCCTATAGAAAAGAAGTTTATAGAAATCTCTGGGTTTTTTGCTCTTTAATCTCATGTCCTTCAGTTCCACTATCTATTGACAGAAATATACAAAGACAGAGAGACATGAGTATATTAATGTAGTTATGAAGTTGGAAAGGACAGGTCCATTTGAAAAGTGGTTGTCTCATGGAATGCTTTCCACGGTAAGGATTCCCAGGTCCTTGTCTGGAGTGGTTGGAAATTGGAATTAATAATTTTTCACAAAAATCAACCACAAAAGCAATTTTATTGCTTTTGTCTAACTGTCACTGCAAGACAAACAGCACAAAGAGCAAGTTCATTGTGATTTTTTGGAGTAAGTTACAGAGTTAGATGGAGGCCTATGAACATGAAAATATTAAAATATTCCTAACCAATTTCATAGAAGGATTTGTTGGAGCATTTTATCTAGGTGGGTTTAATTGTGTCTGTAATGACTTTAGTTATGTTTTGTTTTGTTTTTTAAAGCAGTTGTTACAAAGGGAGAAACTCAAGTTTATATACATGTCTGTATTTTTGAGTAACAATTTTTCTGGACATTAAATAAACTGAATTATAGTTAAAATTACTAAACGAAATATGTGATGAGATTTATAAAAAAGATACTGTTAACAAAAGTTATACTTTTATTGGAGGCTATGTAGTAGGTTTCCTCCCACATGCCTCATATATGTTAATCACCTGGTTCTCACAACGCCAGGAAGGCATTATTATCACTACAGCCATTGTACAGATGAGAAAACTGAGGCTTAGAGAAATTCAGAAGTTTACTCAAGGACTCAAAGCTCCAGAACATTGTGTTGGATCTGCCTTATTCTTTTGCCTATGGTCTTAAACTCTGTTTGGTATTGACCATCTGATGCAGAAGAAGAGCGTTAGGGTCAGTGCCCATAGATGTCCATACGTTTTGGAGGTTTTCAAAGATAGAGTGGTCTGTAGGACTGTGACAGGGGAGGTTGGAAGTTGGGAGTTTGATTCCCATCACTTGTTCTATTATGTTGAGAAAAAGTGTACAATGTGTGAGACTCAGCAGACAGGGCCTTAGATGCAGAGACGGATTAGGATTTTCTTGGACCTGAAAATCCTTGGCCATGAAATGACAAACAAAGCACTCTATTATTTTTATAAACCCAAGGCCAGCATTCTCTCACTGGGTAGTTCATAAATTTGAAGAATGATTCTTCAGGGATTATTTATTAAAGAAAAGATATAAAGACAGGATTAATTGAAGGGAGTCCAATGACCTTTTTGATCAAAGCTATGGGATAGTAGTTGACAAAAAAGTTATAAGAAACATCCACTTGGAAGGACTACTCATTATGTAATCTGCTGGTCAGCTCAGCCCCACACCTGTGTGCTGCAGAGAATTGGGGCCTTTGCCATGATTTGGAAGAATTTCAATCAATTAGTCACCTTTGATGTGTTAAATTTTTAATTTGGCTTCTATAATTTTAGCCTCTATGGGTTTTGTTTTTGAAATGAGGGTTTCTCAAGGGCTTTTTGTCCATTAAGGCTTTGCCATTTAAATTTTCACCACTACATCCTATCAAAATATGCTAAAATTTAAAAATCCTTGTTTTTAGATATCACCCTTTCTTTCCCCCTTATTACAAATGTAACAGTTTTTCACTGTGGAAATTGCAAACATACTGATAAGTGAAATGAAAAAGAGAATCTGTAATGCTACGCAGATATAACTTTCACTTTAACAAATAGCCTTTTCTACTTTTATTTATGAGCTTACACATGTGTAAAAAATAAGGCAAAGGAAGAAATGCAATCATGATATACACATTGTTTTGAAATATGCTTTTTTGCACTCAATATATCACAAAACATTTTCTAAGCAATGTGCAACTAGAACATCTTGTTTAAGCCTGCACAGTAGCTCACCCTATGAGAACTTAGTTTGCTCTTCCACAACCTTTGGACTACCATTGAATTTCCATTTTATATGATAGTGTAATGAATATCCCTATAAGAACCTATGTACACTTGTCCAGTTTTTACATAGAATTAATTCTTATAGTTATGTAATTGCTGGGCACAAGAGTATATACATTTTACTTTTGTTAGTATCATTTTAAAAATATTCACCCAAGGATAATTTTTTCCATTAATTTGCAGAGAGAGTGGGAAGTGGGGGTAGAGAGAGAGGAGAAAGAGAGGAAAGAGTTAGAAACATCAATGTGAGAGAGACATATTGATTGGTTGCCTCCTGTACATGCTTTGATTGAATTTACAACCCAGGGGGATGTGCCCTTGACCAGGTATTAAACCCTTGACTTTTCAGTAGACAGGCTAACTCTCTAACCATTGAGCAACCCCAGCCAGAGCTACATCTTTAAAGGCATTGGAAGTATATTTTCCTCTAAAAATAAGTTATTAATTTGTATTTCACCCATGGAGTATGATATGCCCACCTTCTTCACATCAAGTCTAATATTAGGCAGGAGCCTTTTGAATTTATAGGTTGAGGGGAGAAGAGTTCATTGCTTCAAATACTGTGATTTGAATGATTTTTGTGTGTTACCAGTTCTTATATTTTGCTTCTTCTTGGGGGGAAGGAGAAGTCCTATTTCTTATTCATTTATAATCATTCTAGCGGGCCAGTGCACAAAATTCATGCACATTAAAAGGGAATTAGAGGAAATATTTTAATATTGCAATTTGTCCTTTCTCTATAATAGAAGTGTCAGAGATGAAAGAAAATTAGTAAAATGTATATGAAAATCTTCCTCCTGTCAGAGTCTTGGGCACACTGTTGGACCCAGAGTTAAGTCCCTGCTGACCTGTGCTTGCCTCAAAATTGAGCGAGACCCAGACCTGGCTGGCCCCACCCCAATTGGGTGAGATCCAGACCCAGCTGACCCCACCCCTGTCAAGTCCTGCTGGATGAGGGACACAGTCTCAGGTCCCCCATCAAGCCCTGCTGGGCGGGGAGCACAGCCTCAAGTCCCCAGGGACACTCTCAGGTCCCCTGGCCTGGGGCAAAGGGTGTGGCCTGAGGTTCCCTGGCCAGGCTTTGGAAGGGGGTTGAAGGGAACGTAGCCTCAGGTCCCCCAGCCTGGGGAGAGGGGCGAAGGGTGCACCTTGAGGTCTCCCAGCAAGCCCCTTTGGGTGGGTGGCACTGCCAGAGGTCTCCCACCCTGGCCTGGTGCCATGCAGCCTCTGGTCCTTGCTGATCACTCATTACGAGAACCCTGCCTCCACTGTGGGTGCAGCCATGTTGTGATGGCATGTGGGTTAATTTATACACGCCAAATAAATCCTCCTTTACTATATAGGAGGATTTTGGGCTGTAACTCTTGTAAATATGATAACTACCCCATTCCAGTTGTGCCTGTAATACTATATAATGTTGCCGGGACCGGTTTAGCTCAGTGGATAGAGCGTCGGCCTGCGGACTGAAGGGTCCCGGGTTCGATTCCGGGCAAGGGCATGTACCTGGTTGCGGGCACATCCCCAGTAGGGGGCGTGCAAGAGGCAGCCGATCGATGATTCTCTCTCATCGATGTTTCTAACTCTCTATCCCTCTCTCTTCCTCTCTGTGAATAAATCAATAAAATATATTTTAAAAAAATATATATATAATGTTTCTTTTTCCCTTTGAAAGTTTTGAATGTTTATGTAGTTATATCCGTTTGTATTTTATTTGAACCCTTGACCTTTCTGTATGATTTCTGCCTTTGGTATTAGACTTAGAACAAACTTCTCATATCCAAAATAATATAATTATTCAACTATATTTTCTTCTAGCACTTTAATGATGTAATTTCTCTTAATATTCTTTAATTAGGAAAGAATTCATTTTGGGTCTCAGTAATAGTTGAGAGTTTGAAAAAGAGATTGTTAAAAGACTAAGTAATTGTTAATATGACAAAAAAAAATCAGAGATTAAAAAAGGGCCAATTGGCAGGGCAAGTAAAAATTAGATCATAATTTTATTCTTATTAAGGCAAATACTTAGATATTTCATGTATGTAGGCCTCGTTCCATAAAGGGCTAGAAGGGGCAGCCTTTTCTGTTTCTCTGCTGCTCTATCTTTGACCAGAGAGCTGGTCCTGGGTCTTTCTGAGCTTTCGCATTTGTCATTCTTTCTTCCTGTCTCTCTCTCCCTATCAGGACTATTGATTGTTTTGGGTTAGCTGTGTGGCTTTCATCAAACCTCTTAGTCTCTTCTCAGCATCAGTTTTTCCTATCCATAAAAAAGGAGGTTGAACTAGGTGATGTCTCTGATTTCTTCCAGCTCTAAGTTGCTCTGTGATGTACAACCTTTCTCTTATATGTCTGTACTTATATGTCTCCATCTCTATATTTGAGTAAATTACTTTCAATTTGCCATAAATTTCTTTTTCTTCCTTTTCCTTCATTGCACTGCTGCCTGACTTCCCCTCTTCCTTCTATTAATTGACAATTAACAGATAACTATAGTCTAATTTGTATTTGTTGC